CAACTTCTGAGCAACAGGTAAACTCTCAATAAACATTTACTAAAAAATATGATTAATTTGAGGAATAACATAAGGCAAGTGGTTTCATAGAGCAGATCTTCTCTGCAGAGCTTAAATCTCTTACAATCACTTTCATCCTAAAATATCTTCCTATGACAAGGCAAACTGTATTTTACACACAGGAAAACTAAAATAGATCTAATGAGAATCCCTATTAGATAGTCCCCACTTGATACTTAATACTGAACAAGAGAAAAGTCATTATAAAAGCATCAATGAAGGAAAAATCTTCTCTTTGAAGTCAATTTGAACACAAAAACACTAATAATGGGAACACAGAGAAATAATGACAAAAAGCCCACAGATAATGCTGTAACAAGTAATGGGCTGCCTTTCGAGGACCTCTTTCATGTAACCATGTGACCGTTGTACTTCCAAAACGACTGACACATATTGCTAACTCTACTGACAGATGTCAAGTCAAGATGTTGGTAAAACACATTGCCTGTCCTTTAGGAGATTCTCTAATTTTTAAATCAAGCAGAAACAAATTACAGCTTCTATTCTGTTCTCCAGAGTTGCTGACTTCTACACTATTCCTAAACAGAATTCAGTATAACCCACTGGCATAGAGCTAAGGGTGACAGAAAAAAGATATAACCTGGCATATTGGCATCTGGATATTTTCCTCCAAATACAGAGCAAAGTGCCATAAAAGTTCAAGTTATTTTAAATTCACTATACAGAGGCTACACAGTTTGATCCCTGGTTTGTTGTAAGAGCAATCTGCCATAACTGATCACATAAACTCAGACAAGTTGATTCCTCCAATAGTCATTTCCTGAGTGGCCACTATGTATCAAATATTATACAAGATGATGGGGATGCCAAGGTAAAGTGTTTGATCCATGTTATCCTGGAACTTACAATCTCCTGTAGAGTCAGACAGTTGGAGAAGACTGTACAGTTGTTCACCAAACTTGTCTTCCTTTCATGGTGAGCATGAAAACAAACCAAGTTTCCCAGCCTCCATATAACTGCATTGTGGACGTAGAATGTGAGTAATGAGGTATGCCATACCCAGGCCTGACCACAGAGCCTCGCCTTTGATTATTGACTTTCTCTCTCCATCTCCTCATTTGCCAGTTGGATGCAAGGGACCCTGACGAGGACTCTAATTTCTTAGAGGTGATGGAGCCACAAGATGGAAAGGAGCAAAAGGCCACCTGCTGAACACTCTCTTGGAACTATTATGTGAACAAGAAAGAAATTCCTATTGTGTTAAGTGGCTAAATTGTTTGTTACAACAACACTTGAAGTGAAAGTGAAAGTTGCTTAGTTGTATCCGACTCTTTGCCACCCCATGGACTATACAGTCCATGGAATTCTCCAGGCCAGAATACTGGAGTGGGTAGCCTTTCCCTTCTCCAGGGGATTTTCCCAGCCCAGGGATCAAACCCAGCTCTCCTGCATTGCAGGTGGATTCTTTACCAGCTGAGCCACAAGGGAAGCCCAAGAATACTGGAGTGGGTAGCCTATCCCTTCTCCAGGGGATCTTTCCAACCCAGGAGTAGAACTGGGGACTCCTGGATTGCAGGCTGATTCTTTACCAACTGAGCTATCAGGGAAGCCTTACAATACTTGATCTACCATACCAAAGCATGAACTCAAACTACCTCCAAGATAATATGATACAGAGTATGCATAGCTTGAAATGGGATACCCAAAAGAAGCAGCTCACCTGAGCTGAGGCAGGATACGGGTAAGGGCTCCTCAGAAGTGCTTAAAATGAATCTTGAAGGACAGTATGAGATAGTGAGAAAGGGAATAGAAGGTTGCAGAGGAGAAAGCATTTGCAAAGTCATGAAACTTTGAGGAAATGGGCTGCATTGGGGAAGTCTTAGTGATTCCTGCCAGTATGTATTTGCTAAAATGACAAAGAGCAGAACCTAGGAGATGTAGTAGCTACTAGAGACGATGGATAAGGGAAGAGGAAAAAATAATCAAGAACCACCTAATTTTAGAAGGCAGAAGAGATGGCATCGAGATAGAAAATGCAGGAGAAAAATGTGAAAGAAGGAGTTCAATTTTGAAAAAGAAAGAAAGCAGAAGAGATGGCATCGAGGTAGAAAATGCAGGAGAAAAATGTGAAAGAAGGAGTTCAATTTTGAAAAAGAAAGAAAGCAGAAGAGATGGCATCGAGGTAGAAAATGTAGGAGAAAAATGTGAAAGAAGGAGTTCAATTTTGAAAAAGAAAGAAACTGAGATAGCTATGGAACCCCCAAAAGACGAATCGGCAGGTGGCTGGACGTGTGGCCCTAGGGTTCAGGCAGCAGCATGGACGGGGAGGCGAGTTTGGGAAGGGCCACTGCACAGGTGCCGGCTGAAGCCAGAGTCAGGGTGGGACGGCTCAGGTAGAATACTCACAGCGAGAAGCCAGAGAAACAGGGAAGGAAAGAGGAAGTGGGAAAGAGGGAAAGGGCAAGAAAAAGAATGTGAGAAAGAAGCCACAGATGCCAAAGATTGTGGGAAAAAGCAGTTAATAGTAAGAAACGCTTCAGAGTGGTGAAATAAGAGGACAGCTTGAAAAATGTCCACTATATTCAATTAGGCAGCTATTTGTGACCTTAGCAAGTTCCATTTCAGTATCAGGAAGAGCTAAGTTAAGATGGCCTGGAGAGTGAATGAGGGATAAAGAATTACAGACTGGAATACAGAATACTCTTTAAAGAAAACTGGTTTCTAAAAAACAATTAGCCCCAAGTGGAGAGAGAGAGAGTTTGTTTCACTTGGATTTTCATTTTTCAAGAAGCAAGACTTAAACATGTTAACATGTTGAATTCTCTGAGCTTTTATTTCTCTGTAAAATGGGGATAATAAGGCCTCTTCTTCTTGGTCCATTGGATTGTTGTCAGAACAAATAAGATGAAAGATGACATATGTGAAAGAGTCTAAAGTTCTACATAAATAGCAATGTTTTGTATTTATAAATGTTGAATATATAGAGTTATAAAAGTTAAGAGGCCATTGAAACATGGCTGGCTATAAAATTAATGAAAAATTATAATCAGTCTAGATCTAGAAATATTAAGCAAAATGCCTTTTGAACACACACTACATGTTGGCAACCACAAATCTTAGAGGCTAATGACACAGGCTAATTTTGCTGGACAAATTTCTTCTGGTGCATCTAGGTTACAGCCTGAGTTTCCAGATGTCTTTGTTATACCAGGGCAAAAAAAAGGCCAGTGAACCCGAGCAAATTGCTGTGCATTAAATCATCTGGGAATTTTTTAGTCTTATGAGTAGTAGTTTTTAAATAAATGTTTCTGGCATTTACCTAGTTTCGCAAAGCAACAGACTAGCCCCACAATTTAGGTCTCAGGACCAGCGAAACCATGGTGAATGGCCACAGGCTGCTGAGTATGTTATTTTAAGGAGTGACTGAAGTATTCTGGGAAGTGAGCTAGCCATCTCAGGACTTCCTGCCTGGGAAGACTAACCATCTGAAAGAATATGGCCCAACCATTATTTCACTAGTCACCAAACTTTTAAGGACTCTACAAAGAGCATTATTTTAAGCACTATGACATCACTGTAACTAGGTTTTCTCTCTTAAAACTTGTAACAAGTGGTTTTAGCATGCCCCAACTTCCTCCCCGGGAAGATATCTTATCCCTGTAAAAGAAAAATGTCCCTTTCCTTTTCTGTGCAGTTTTGAACAGCTCCTCTGACTGGGCTCTGATGTCTCCTCAGTTATTTTCAAGGACATAGGGTGCTAATTAATTGAGGTCAAGCAGCTGTGACTCCAGCGCCAAAGAACAATTGTGCAGAATACAGAAGTCTTCCTTTACAAAAGATACTGAGGATCTAGTCTTGAGACCCAAATAAACCCTATTTGCAATTACTTTTGCATGTTTCTTTTATCTTAAACAGACCGAGCTACAAGACTAAAATGGTGTTTCTTTTATCCATGTTTCTCAAATATTTTATCCTTGATATGTGACACTACCATATGTAGCTATTAAATTGGCCCAATGTCTCCAGGTCAGTTTTTAGAACTTTTATCCACTTCAATGCCACATTTCCTCCCAGGGCTGAGGGTCAATAAAGTGCTTTGCAAATACCTCAATCAGAAATACAAAGAAAAAGACAAAGCTTCCGTTGCCCTCAAAATAGACCTTTATAGAAAATTGAGTATCTTTCATAAGTTTACCTCAATCTTAAAATAATTTTGTGAAAGTATTGTCATTAATTATCACCAATTAATAGAGTAGAATCCTGAGGGCCAAAGAGTTTTAAGAACATTCCAAGGTGGTATGAGATTAATAGGTATAAACTACTATGCATAAAATAGAGAAGGAACAAGAATATATTGTATAGCACAGGGAATTATAGGCATTATCTTGTAATAACTCATGGAGTGTGATCTGCAAAAACACTGACTCATTTTGCTGTATGTCCAAAACTAATAAATACTATAAGTCAACTATACTTCAATTAAAAAAAGAACATTCCCAAGGCCTCTTAGCTCTTTAGAAACAGAAGCAGGTCTATACCCAAGGTCCTCGGCTGCCTCAACACTCTCCACTACACCATAGATGGCCCCATCACGTTACCCACTTATTTGTGTTTCACTTCTCTAGCAACAATGGAAAAAAGCCTGGCTTCCTCTGAAGTCATTAGGAATCTCTGATGAAATGCAGACGTGAATTCAGTTCTCCCTCCAATGAAAATACATAAAACATACTGGTTATATAAGGAATGTTATGGGATCATCATGGATGTGGAAAACTTTTTAAAGGAACGCACAAATGATGCTTGGAATCCTGAAAAGGCCAAAGAAGATATTACAAACAAATGACCAAATGTGGAATGGGGAAAAATTCCATGAACAATCAGTATTTTCACTTGACTAGTTTGTTTTTATTTTGTAAGGGCTTCTCTTTGATGGAATACCCTGGTTTTTTAAAGCATTTCTAATGAACTCAATGACCAACCTGTAGATGGAGAAGGAAGCCACGGATCGAATGAGGGATGCCAAAGCCCCCACTTTGGCTGCTTCCACCGCCCCCTCCATGCGGTACTGCACTGCTGCGGAGTAGTTGGTATAAGGTTGATTGTAAACGACGATCTTCCCTTTTGCGTCTGGCCCTCTTCTCTGCAGTTCATCGAAAGAGGTCACCACTAGAACTTCCGCAGTAATGCCTACAAATAAAAGTCATGCAAGATTAACGCATGGTTTCCGATCAGCCAGGTTGAATTGGCACACAAAAGGTCACACATGCTCTATCCACTACATCTGGCAAACCGGTTTGCAAAGATCAAAGTTTCAGAGCCATTTGCTATGGGAGAAAGACTGTGGGGGTTAGCCAGTTTCCCAAGAAAGAGAAAAGGCATTCAAAACATTTAATATACGACTCATTAGGTTTTTCAACTCGCTTGACCAGCTGCTATTAAATCACAAATTGCTTGCAAAGATGTCTTTTTTTGTCTCTTTCCCACCCTAACAGGTCATGAGTTTCACAAAATGACACTAATTATTTACTTAAAAAACACATTTTAGAAAGCTCCCCTTGGGATTAGTGAAACACATATTTATCTTTTCATAAAACTATTTTGATATGTGGCTAAACAACGTTCATTGACATCATACAAAGGATGGCAGTTTATACAAAAAATATTCTTAGGAGCCAATGATTTTCATACTTCCAAGTTTTAACAAATAGTTAATGTAACTTCTCCCAAGAGTCACAAAAAGTCAGCTTATTTTCTTTCCTTCTTTGTACTGAATCATTTTAAAGAATGTGAAAACTGCCCATGTCTCGATTTATAGGACTTGTTCATTACCAAACATATCACTATTCTTCACCTAAAAAAAACTCTGAAGATGCTATATAACTGTTCTATAATCCTCTTGTCTCATTTAGAAAGATGTGACATATTTTTTCACACCACAAGTCTTGCCCAAATCTTCCTGATTAGGACAGGGTTTCACAGCTTCTGAGAAGTCATTCAAAAACTGCCAGACCACTGAGGATTCAATTTGATGGCATAGTTACAGTGACAAGAAAAAAAATATTTAGCAACAAAGGCCAGATGCAGTAGCTAAATATAACGATCTAAAGTAAAGAGGCAGGCGCCTACTGTTTTATAGCTTTAGCCAGGCAGTCATGAAATATGGCAGTAAAAAACCCAAGTATCAACATGGATTTGGCATATTTCTTTAATCTTGCAAACTAGAGAATCAAGTTCTTCTGGAAGCTTAACATGTCATTAAAATAGTAACTGTAACTTGGAAAATCCTTCTTAAATGCACTGCAGGTATGAGAGAATTCTTGCTTTCAACATGGGCCCCACCACAATAGACCCTTTGAGCTGGCTGCTCTCCGCTTCTGGTTCCACCATTCAGACTGAATCTGTACTATCACTTTAAAGTGATTGACTACAGATCTATAAGTATGTCTCCACCAACACTCAGAACTCAGAACTTAGTTTGTAATCTAAGGAAAGCAATGTACAATTATGAAAAGTAAGGAAGCCACTAGCTTTTTCACATGATAAATATGTGTAAGAATACAAATAAAAGCTTGGCTAGACGGAGTTTCAGATTCATAACTTTTTGAAACCTGGAGTTACCTTGAAATTTGACTGGTGTTATTGTTGGCATGTCCCAGGAATTTTGTTGATGCTTTTCAGCTGTTCCTAATGAATAACAGATTCGATGGTCCACCCAAGGGGTGTCCCAGCAATGGGGTAATTTTGGCATCTGGATTGGAGCCACTAGAAATAAAGCCAAGTTTCTATAAATTTTCATTGGCCACTGCAAAATTAAAATCATACAAGGGGAGTGCTTCACTAGGGCCTATGGTTAAGTTCTTTTAACAAATGTGAGTGACAGAGTTCTAATGAGCCAAAATCTAACCTAGACATCAGTTGCCAATGCAGGACACTAGAAGCAGCTATAGGTCAAAATCTATCACCAAGAACTTGCAAGAAGTCTTCAAATTAATCTGTTTTCCTGAAAGCTTAGGGTCATCTCTGATTCCTCTGTCTCCTTCATCCTCCAGGTCCCATCAGTCCTCAAATACTGAGACTCTTACTCCTTAAGTATTAACTGAAAGCAGGTCCTCTGCTCTGCCACATTACACCTCTCACATCAGGCTCTGGTGTCCTTCTGTTTGGACCATGAATTCCTCCTCCTTCACCTCACCACCACTACTGTCCCAGCCTCCAGCCCAGCTCCCTCAAATTTAACTTCCACAGAGCTGCCAGAGTGAAGGACTCGAACTGCTGAAAAGTCACAGCAGCCTGTGTTACCATCTCCCTGCCCCCCTGCCCCTTCTGCCGATTACCGGTCACTTCAACGTAACAGTCAAAGCCTGTCTATCTCTATAGACACGGGCTCCCTTTTATTTTAAATTCGGTCAATGCTAAAGTTAAAAGTTCCCACTCTCACCACAGCAGTTCACTTCTCAGGGTCTTTGTTCACAGCGTGGTACATATGTCTTGTTGATCCCGCTCTCCCAACTTTGTCGTGTGACTAACACCTATTTATCCCTCAGATGCTATTCAAGAATCACTCCCTCAAACTCTCTTCAATATTTTGCAACAACCTATATCGGGTTGAAAGAACCTATATCTTAGGTTGAAAGAACCTAAGAAAGAGTAGATATATGAATATGTATGACTGATTTACTTTACCGTACACCTGATACTAGCACAACATTGTAAATCAACTATTCAGTTCAGTTCAGATCAGTCACTCAGTCGTGTCCGACTCTTTGCGACCCCATGGACTGCAGCACGCCAGGCCTCCCTGTCCATCACCAACTGCCGGAGTTTACTCAAACTCATGTCCATTGAGTCGGTGATGCCATCCAACCATCTCATCCTCTGTCAACTATACTCCAATAAAAATAAACTTTAAATAAGAAATAGAAAAAAAGAGAACCATTACTCTAGGGGAGCATTCTCAAGGCCTCTGGCCTCTTTGTCCCATCCCTCTCCCGCTACCTCCAGGAAGGCTGGTTAGTGCACCACTCAACTCTTGACTTTCAGAGTCTCCAGGGCATACCCAGGCACTAGACAATGTTGTTCTTTAGTCGCTCAGTCGTGCCTGACTCTTCACAACCCCATGGACTGTAGCCCTCCAGGCTCCTCTGTCCACGGGATTTCCCAGGCAAGAATACTGGAGTGGGTTGCCATTTCCTTCTCCGGGGGATCTTCTCAGCTCAGGGATCAAACCCAGGTCTACTGCATCATCAGGCAGATTTTTTACCACTGAGCCACCAGGAATGCCTAAGAGACAATGAAACTTTGCTTATTTGTGATTGACAATACCACCTAAACTGGGAACTCTTCAGGATCTGGGGCCGTGTGTACTTTGGTTTGTATCTCCTTGGCCTAACATAGTGCTCAGTGTGTGTGTAGGCAGCCAGTCAATAAGCTTTCCTCAAATGGCACTGCTCCAAATAAGGGGCCATTGACTGGATCTAAAGCATTTCCATAGAAGTGCAATTTTATCTTTAAAGTTTGAGAGCACTTCTCCCACAATAACTCAGCAGTCTGACTCTGACCACCCGGAGCACAGCTGCACAACAATAACCAAGCAAAAAAGGCCTTGGGGCAGTCAGAACAGAAATATAAATCCCAAGTATAAAAACTCAGGCACTTGAACATAAGGAAGCTCTTCTGCTCTCAAAGCCTAGTTACCCTTATTTATATAAAATTCTAAATCTAGCGCTTAAACCTATGAACTATGAGAAACAATAAATCAGAAAGAAGAGATAAGTTTGGAAGCTGATAGCAGTACCACAGGAAAAAAAAAAAAGCAACGTCAGAGACAGGAACATGAAACATAACGAATATGCACTTACTGACATTTTTGCAGCATCAGAAATGTTCTGTGTCTGGGCTAACACAGTGGCCATTAGACACATGTGGCTACCAGCACATTATTTATGTATCTACTTGGCTGCACCAGGTCTTAGCTGTGGCATGCAGGATTTTTTATCTACATTTTGACATGCAGGCTTTAGTTGCAGCATAGGAACTCTTCGCTGTGGTATGTGTGATCTAGTTCCCCAACCAGGGATCAAATCTGGCCCTCTGCATTGGGAGTGCAGAGTCTCAGCCACTGGACTACCAGCGGGGTCCCCCTGAACACTTTAAATGTGACTAATGTGACTCAGAAACTGAATTTTTAATGCCATTTCTTTTAATCAACTTATATTCAAATTTAGATAGCCACATGTAAATAGTGGCTACTGTGTAGAATGCATAATCACCGCAGGCTCAGCTATTATGTAGTCAGATGGCCAAAAGCATCTCTGCTGGCCCCGGGGGCCTTGCTTCAGGACAGGTCAGGAACAGACGTGGCCATCACGGCAGGGCCTCCTGCAGCAGCCTGTATTCAGTACCCACTGTTTGGGAAGTCAGGGTATGTACAAAAATACTTAAGTAAGATTTTTGCTCAAAATGAATAAAATAAAACCAGGCCATCCAGAAAACCTCACTCTTCCATATTAGTTGTGTTTCGACACGTTACACAAAGGAAATCCTTCTGCTCTCCTACAAATCAGCAGGCTCCTATTCTTTTCTCTCCTCTCTGCTCCCTTCTTTTCATACCCTCATTCTTAAAACTAGTATATGAAAACCTCAAACATAAAACCATTATCAGATGTCCTGAACTCCTTATTAATAATTGTAACCCACTCCCAACCCCCATCTCTCTTTTTCAGCTTAACTTTTCAATAGCAGTTGTCAGCTTCCAGCTGCTTCTACTACAGTAATGCAAGCTCCATGGGGTGAGCGGGCGGGGCAGGGGGAGGAGGTATTGTGGAGGGGGGTAGAAATTCTTGTCTGTCTTATTCATTAATATTATCAAAATGCCTGAAGTGGTACCTGACATGTAATATGTGAAATTTACTCATACACATTCATAGGCACAAATACACACATGTACACATGCATATACAGAATGAAATAAAGAGAAACCAAAAAATAAAAGTGCAATAATACCCCATCTGTGATCACTCCCCTAAAATGTATACTTTCAAGGAACTTACATATTTCTGTGAGCATAATTGAGAAAATAATAATAGTGATATTGAGTATCTATTGTTTAAACCAGTGTTCTTAGCAACTCTGCAAAGTAGTCATTAGGAACACGGAAGTGCATAGAAATAAATTTACACAACTATGAG